AAAAAAAAAAACGTGGACATTTTTATTATATATTATTATTATTATATATTTATACATTTTTAACAACCTTTTTTTTATAAAAAACTATTTTTTCATATTTTAGACTTTTCAGGGTTTATATTATATTCAGGATGAGCACTAATTATGAAAAAACCCTGTTCTCATACTGCACTCATGTAACACTAATAGTATCACTTCATCTCTCCAAGTTATTAGTTCCATCTATATGGAGCTCCATGAATCGTTTGTGACTGCCATTTGAACACTTCATATCTGTTTAAGTGGAAACCCCCATATATTTTTATTGTGCATTATTAATTTAGACATTCTGCTATTCGCTCTATCAGTGACAGAGTGCCCTTTGGGATGTGGGTCAGTGGTTGCGGGAGAATGCACCTGTTCAGAATACGTAAACAGGATTATAGTGTCCAAGTAACGATCCAAGTTTAGAGCAGCCTTAGGCCAGTATGACACAGAATATGCAGCCGTCAAAGTCAGATAGTTAGCACAGTCACAGTGGAATCGACACTAGGACAAAAATAAAGCAGAGATTAAATCTCTATCTGACTTTATTTGACCTTTGGATTTGCCTGTCTCTTTGGGTTAAAGTGATTCGATTTTTAGTCATTAATGAATTCATCATGGTTACCAATGAAATTCTTTGTTGTAGTCTGTTTTAACAATGCAACAGCATCACATTTTCTTGACATTTTTGTTATCCTTTAAAGGACACTATTACAGAGGAGATGGTTGAACTGCTCACTCCATATCTGTCGATGGAAGACTATAACCTAGAAACAGCTAAGAGGACCTGTGGTAATGTAGCAGGCCTCTGTTCCTGGACTGAAGCAATGGTGGAATTCTTCGGCATCAATAAGGAAGTGCTGCCCCTAAAGGTGATGTCATGATGTCTCACTAACCTTTTGTAGGATGTGCTTAAAGGAAATATTTAACCTAAAATTGAAAACTCAGCTACCTTTCAAAAATCAGTGATTTTTTTTTTTTTTAAATGTTTTTGAAAGATGCTTCTTATGCTCACCGAACAGAAAGTTCAAAAGAATAACATTTATTTGAAAGTTTTTTTTTTAGAACAATCTTAAGTGTCTTTACTGTCACTTTTGATCACTTTAAAGGGGTCATATGATGCTGCTAAAAAGAACATTATTTGGTGTAATGAAATGTGTTTATGCGGTTTAAGGTTAAAAAAAACATTATTTTCCACATACTGTACATTATTGTTTCTCCTCTATGCCCTGCCTTTCTGAAACGCGCCGATTTTTACAAAGCTCATCGGTCTGAAAAAGAGAGGTGTGCTGTGATTGGCCAGCTATCCAGTGCATTGTGATTGGCCGAATACCTCAAGCGTGTCACGGAAATGTTACGCCCCTTACCATATGATGCCATGTCCCGGCGAGACGAGACAAAACCAATAAAACCCATTATAAACAAGGCATTTGATTTGAGACTTTAGTCTTTGCAACTTTACAGATCTTCTTTATGCACCAAGAGCTTGTAACACTCCAAGGAGAAAGGAAAAATTTAAATCGCATCATATGACCCCTTTAATGCATGCTTACTGAGTAAAACTATTAAATCTCTTTTTAAAAATTTGTTATACCTCTTAATACATTTATTTCCATACTTTGTGTATCACAGGCTAACTTAAAGCTTCAAGAAGCTCGTTTGACTGTAGCACAGGACGAACTATCAAGCGCTCAGGAACAACTGGACTCGAAGCAGAGAGAGCTGGATGAGGCTCAGGTGTGATATATATGTGATATACTGTATAACCAAGAATCTGGTCTATTTTATAAAAATAAAAAAATAGTGATACATTTTCTTTACCAGATCTCAAATGTGACTTCTGCAGATACGGGCAGAACAGCACTTTAAATTCTGATTGAAGATAAATGAATGAATTTATGAGTTTTAAGTATATAGTTAGCACTAATGTTTGTATTTGCATTTGTAATTTTAATTTTGTTTTCAACCAAAAAATTTAAGTTTATATGAATTTCCAAAGTTTTAAAATCCCAGATGGATGTTTACGCACATTTTTGCACAGGCAATGTATGATGCGGCCATGAAGGAGAAGCAAGACCTGCTGGATGATGCTGAGGCATGCAAGAAGAAAATGTCCAATGCTGTGGCACTTATAGATGGACTTGGTGGAGAAAAGGTTTGAAAATTCCTTGCAGAATTTGGATTGGATTAAATGAGAGCTACACTACAGATGTTTGACTGCAAGCCTTGAAAATGACACTCCTTGAAAACATCCAAAAAGGTGATCTCTGCATGTGCTTATGTCTGCCTTAGATTCGCTGGACAGAGAGCAGTGCTCAGTTCGCGAGACAAATCAAAGATTTGGTGGGGGATGTTTTGCTGGCCACTGGATTTCTATCCTATGCTGGGCCTTTCAACCAGGAGTATCGCAGCCTTCTTATGCAGCAATGGAAGAAGGAGATGAATATCTGCCGCATCCCTTACAGCGAGGTACATCCTGAGTAGGGATGGGTACCGAAACCCGGTATTTAATCGGTCCTGGGGCTAAATTATGAAAGACCGAAGTATCGATAAGCTCTGACGTTAACGGTTCTGCTATCGGTACTGGAGAAATTAATAAAACACACATACATTTATTATTGCTATATATACATTATCTTGCAAATTCTATCTCACCAGAGTCGCCAGCTGTTTTTCAAACATTTGTCTATGATGCATTTTTGCTATTCGCAATTCAGAAGCGAGATCGCGCCCACACGGAGGAGCTTCAGCACGTGCAACATGAAAGCCCTGTTTAATTATGATAGAAGAGAGAACTATTAGAACTATTGAGAACATTCAAACATCTGCTTACACTTTAGGCCTGTGGCTGTTTTATTAAGCTAATTTTATTTTATTTTTTCGATTTTGGCTTCTAAGGATTATACAAAAGAAGACATGAGGTAAAGCTATTAAAAACTAGCTGCGTTTCGTATTGCGCAACTTCTTTCCCTTCACAGCGGTGCGCATTCGCTCCTCCCTAAAACCCAAACTTAACGTCAGAATCAGCTCAATCGGTGATTGTTGTAAGATGCCATCTTTACATTTAATCAAATTAGAAAAATGCATTTACAAAGGTAAAAAGAAAATGCCCCTGAAATCACTTTGAGTCAAATGTCAGCTTGTATTAGGAAGGCTAATTCTTGATCAGAATTTTTTATTATTGATTAGAAGGTGCTCCTACACTTCTCTTAAACTAGGTGTGTGACAGGTATGGCTGTGGAATGGGGTTTGGCCGAAAGATTCAGTCAAAAGATTTTTTTTTCTTTAACCCCATAATTTTCACACATCAGGGAGCTGCTATCAATATGCGGGGTATTGAAATCGCATTTGAATTAGCGCTCGCTGTTCACTTTCGATTTTGCTATCACGCGCACTCTGTGTAAAGGGAGCACATCTTAACAACATCATTTAGAAGTGATATATAATTGTACATGAAGGCTGGAAATAAAAAACTCCTTATTAAGGTGTGCATAGTTATTAGGCAGGTTTTCTTTTACGGATGATTTGAGCCAAAAAAGAGATTTAACTGATTTAACTCAGTCAAAAATGATTAAATCCCCTTGAGAAATATTAAAAACTAATGCAATACAGAAATTTCAGAAATTTCAAA